ACCTTCTCATGTCACGCACTTGCATACAGAAGTGATTCGTAGCTAGTGGACATGCTACCACCCAAACAAATGATAAAGCAAACACCATTGCAATGACCACCCTGTAATACTGCTCTAAAAAGCACTAAAACAAATCACTATCCCATTACAATGCAGACTTTACTTTGACTAAATTACCTGTAGCTTTTTCTCGATCAAATTTTGATTTTAATTCTGAGAATTCTGCATCTGAAAAGAATTTTTGGCGCTTGTCAGCAGAAACGGCCTCATCTTTGTTTTCAGCATCACTTTCCTTCTTGACATTATCCTCTATTAATTCAGCAGATTCTTGAGTTGTGATGTCATCTTTTTCATCTGTATCTGATTTGTCCACAGATGCTTTGCTGTCTTCCAGTGCCTTCTCATCACCATTCTTTGTGGCAACTGCAGCATCTTTTGTCTCTACTTTCTCGGAAACCTTTTCTGATGTAGCACTGTTCATGAAGTCAACTAGTTTCAGTGGTTGGAAACTGATTACAAGTGCTTCCAAGTAGTATCTATTGTAATTATGGTAGAATTGAAGGTTGTGGTCTTGAAACGCAGTCTGAAAAAAACAAAAGTCAACATGAGTATATAGGTGTATACAGTAGAATATTTCAAGATTTTGGTAATATAATTTAAAATCATTGTCAATAACAGTTCAATTTCCTATTTGGCTAAATTTGTCCATGGCCAGCATGTCCATGAGTGGTGCACATCACTCACAGAGGGTTAAATTACAAGTCCTCGTTTTCAAACAGGGACTAATACAAAAGACTTTCAGAAAAGTTTATAAAAAATGTAATTTTACTGTGTTTTGCCACCGAGATGCCGTGCTTGAACTTAAAAATAGAAGGTATAGCATGTTAAAATATTACATCACCACAATATAAATACATACCTTTTCACACAATTCACATCTCTCTGCCAATGGCTTAAGATCTGTTGCAAACAGCAAATTTTCATATTTCTACAACAACAAAAAAGCAATAGTCACTATTAAATATAGTAGCAACCATGACTACGTTACATGAACTTGTATGAATTTTCTACAATTGACAATCAAATCCATGAGGATATTAAACTGATGAACCAGTTCAGTTCATATTCTCTAACCTGGGTAAATTAACGTTAAAATGTTTATTTTTGGTAATCTGGTGTGGATATTATTTGTAAGATCTCAAAACAAGCATTTTGCTATTTTCTTCAAGTCAACCTATGACAATAAGGCAGTGAGAAGGGTTTGATGTCTGTTGCCTCATTTAGAACAGTAATTTAGCATACATGATTCAAAAGCCCAAGTATAAAGGTACATGTTCGCCCAGTCATTGTATACATAATTACCATGTGACAGCAAAAATGGCGAACCTTGTAAAAATGACTAAATCAGTGATTGCGAGAACACACTGCCAAATTCCCGCTTTAAATTTGCGTGATGCACTGAAATGTGTCCCCGATAAGCTAAAGACCCTTTTCTCAGATTTCATCGCATGTCTAGGGACATTATTTTTGTGGAAAAAAAAATGAGTGTAATAAGACTGTGCTACTTTCTGTTATTCTGCAGTTACTGTAAAATGTCTATTTGAAGCCGCGACACTACTATGAAAATGGTACAAAGCAACAAAGGTGATGCAGCTTCTATTAGAGCATCTACACATGAGAAATGGAGAATTTTTTATTCTAATTTGTTTAAAAAGAATTTGTGTCTCTTCAATTAGGGATGCAATCTTCTAATACAGATTTTGCGCTAGCACTTTCTTAATTTGCTTTGGTATTGTTTTATAACCATAGAACTAAGAATACCTTCCTGGCTACTGTACTGAGTAATCATAGTTAAAGAGACTAAAAATTGGTATATTCTTAAAAACATTTGCCATTACTTAGCCTGTGCTAACCGCTGTTTCCGCCCAAGAGTGAGTGCAATTGGGTCTATCCAATATACAAACATACAAGGACAGCTTAAATCTTAGTCCGTATTTGGTGGAGCTCGAACACAACTATTGACCATCACAAATCAACTAAAGATGGTGAATAAACTGACCTGTATTACAGACAACACTTCCTGTCCATTCTTCTGCTTAACAGCTTTGCCAATGTCAACAATAGCTTGCACAACACGTACAAAGCTTACATGTTTGCAACTCAGTACATGTTTGCTATGCTGTCTGGCATCCGGCTATAGAACAGAAATGTTAGAGAAAAACAATCATTCAGGATAAAAGCTCCACTCTAGTATTCTAGATTTTGAGACAATCAAAGCAGTCACACATTGCCAAATCTGTGTTTTTGACATGTTAGTGGCACCAAGAAAATCAGGATATTTGAGATTCCTTATCTTAAATGACATCTGAATACCTCAAAACAAAACTTTGGCATGTTTATAACTATGATACAACCACACCCATATCAGCACCTCACACAACCACA